TGTTTGATTCTCTCTCCAAGGTATACACCCCCTATTTGTCTATTTCGGCGCTTCCACCCTCCCCGGAAGCCGCATCTTCGACAAGATTCAACCTCTCCGACTTGTAGCCGTTGTCTCGCTTGAACAATCAATCCCAATTTCACGGGAATCTGTTTTAAATCTTGGATACGTGTCTCGCGCCTCGGCAAGTCTCAGGCTTCTTGAGCGCCAGAGGAATTCGACCAGAGGGATCTGGAATGGATCTCGTCCGTTTATACGCGAATAATTTAATCGAGATTGTTTTTTTTGTAATATGAGAGGCATCTTACCTTGGATCTTGGACGAATGGTGGCTGGGATATGAATGGCGTGGGGTAAATAAATTTGGGGAAAAAAAAGAAAAAAAAAAAAAGAATTTTTTTTCCATTTACACGTTCGTCGTTGTTTGTTGTAGGTCGATCGATTAAAAATCTTTTTCGTTTCGCAACGGCAACTGCAAAAATGCATTCGAATAATTCGCAATTGTAAATACACAAAAAATCACGAATGGGATATTACAATGTATCGTGTATTTGAATTAGAAGAAATATCTTTACAATTTTCAAAATTTTTTAAGAATAAGATCAAACAAGATTAAGCCATGATAAACTTTCGAAAAATACTTAAAAACTATACATGCTATATACTCAATATCTATATCGAATTGATCGTCCGGAAAGAGACGAAAGGAATTACAGGATTTCGAGATTTCCGCTAAATCTTCAATATATAATCTAAATGAAAAGGGAGAAATTAATCAAACGCAATGACTGAGAAGCCTTTTTATACCAACGACAATAAACAAATAAAGTGTTTAAACGGTGTAACGCAAGAGAAGATCCGGATCAAGGTGTTAACCACACTGAATTGCAACACCTTTACGTTTATTTATAATATATCAGCAAGAGCAGCAATGTTAATATAATCGTAATTGAGTGCAGTATTATGTACAACCAAACGGAAAAAACGGACTCTTTAGTCGTCATAAGTAGTAGTAGTTTTAGGAAAATATTTTACACAGGTGGTGATCGAATTTAAAACGATTTTAAAAACAATAAACGACGATTCGTATTCTTTTCTTTTTCTTTTTCTCCGTTTTTTTTTGTTTCCCCCTCCTCTTTTCTCTCTTCTTTTTCCCCTTCTATCTTTACTTTACAAACCCATTAGAACGTCTCTCGCCGACCTTTACAAAAAAATTTACAGTGTTCAAAGCGCCACGAACACCCAACATCCTTCTTTTACATGTACACGATTGAAGAACACGTTTACAGTAAAGAATAAATATATATGTATATATATATATGTATATATGTATAATATGTATATATGTGCACTAAGTATCTCTTAACAAGTTCTGTCATCAATTTTCTCATTCGCATATACTCGTCTTCGACACGAGGTCTTTTATTTTTTTTTCTTTTTTCACGCTTGAAAAATACGTTATTACATTAATATTATTTAAAAAAAAAAAAAAAAACAAAAAGTTTCCTTGAGAGAGAGATGACATGCCACTGGAAAATTTCTCTCAGAGATAACAAGGTGTCCAAAATTTGTGGAAACTTCTTAGCATCGACAGGTAAAAGATAAAAGATAATATAATAATTTTCGCCCTTATTTATTCTAATGTTTATTTTTTTTGTCTCTTTTTTTTGTTCGTTTATCGTTTTCCCTTTTTTTTTCGTTTTTTCTCTTTTTCCTTTCGTTTTCTCTTAATCAAAGTTAAAGTCAATGCACCGTTTAAATTTCCTTAAAAACAATGTGCCAATGTGTTCTCGCATTGAGCACACACATCTAGCGTGCTACAAATCCCTTTAATTTTAAACTTACATAAAGCTTAAAGGATAACAATGTTGAAGAACTTGCTGCGAGATACGAACGGATCCTCTGGTATTCGCTTCTTTTTATACAAACGGCGCTCGTCGTAAACAAGGATTCGCAAACATTAAGATTACACGATTAAGATTATCACTCCATGGATAGATGGTGCGATCCATCGTTCCACGATTGTTCGTGTATGCATTTCGATTTCGAAAATTATCTTTTTTCTTTTTTTTTTTTTTTTTTTTTCGACTCGGTGTTCAGAGAGAGAGACACGTCGATTCTTCTCGCGAGGAGAACGAGGATAAATTAATCCTTCAGCAAATCGGTTACATTCCACTGGCCACTGAGAACGTAGCATAATTTGTCACGCGTGAAACGATTCAATCAACGGGTGGAAATACCAGGTCGAGCTTTTCTTATTATCGTTATTATCTTGTCAAATTGTTGAAATTGTTATTAAAAGTTTAATTAATTCTTCGGTATCGAGTTTCTTTAATGTAAAATCGGAAACTTTCATGCGTTTCCTCTAAAAAAGAAAAAAAAACGAATTGAACATATATATTAATTCGCGAAAATGTTAAAATGCAAAGAAGAATATAATCCAATCCAATCAATAGAATATTCGTCATTTCCTCTAATATCTTCGTCATGAAGGCACTCGAAGGATTAAAAAGAAAAAAAAATAAACACAAAGAAAAAGTAATAATCTTCATAACATAAGCAAATCCTGCTCGCTGTTACGTACGTATTTCATCGCATTGTACCGCTTAAAGGGTTAAAATCCTCGTTCTCACGCTCGTGCTGTCAATCGCCACGAGACAACACAACCTATCCGTCCAGTCGGAAGAAATCTCTTTTTACGTATCATGGAACAAGCAAACAACGGGAAAGACGGAATATTCAGCGAAGGAACTCCAACTTGTTGCGCCCCGAGAAACTCTCGCAATCCCGCTCTCTATATATCTCAGATATATAATTTCCCGAGAAAAAGGAACGGCGAGATAGAAAAAAAACATCGCCCCTTTTCAAATAGCCACACCTCTCGATTCTCTTTCTCGAAGAAAAAAAAACGCGATCGAATCGCGAGAAACGATCGCGCTTCCCTCTGACGGATGTTGTGGAAAAAAGAGAGAAAAAAAAACTAATAATTTATTCGTTCGATAAATATCGATCATTCGTCCGTTGAATCAGGCGTTGCCCGTCGTTTTACACATCGCGTCGCGTAACGATAAACTATCTTCTACCATCCTTGCCAAGTTTCGCCTTTCCCTCTGACCTCGATGACACGATATATGTGTGTGTGTGTGTGTGTGTGTGTGTGTATATATACCATATGCGCTAACCTTCCAGCAGAGGGAAGGTATATTTCCACGCGATCTGGATCCGCGTACACGATGAAATCTAGTCGCCGGTTATCCCGTTTCACCGATCCTCGCGCAGCTCCTGATTACTCGTTAAAACCTAACACCCGGCGTCAAACTATACCTTATTTCTCGCTTGAGGGATCGCCGGATGTTTTTTTCCTTCTTTTTTCTCTTCTTCTTCTTCGATATACCGATTTTTAATTAGAAAATTAACTGTTAATTGGATGGAAGTGTTATATCCATATATATATATATAGATAGATATTATATAATAATTAATCATTATATCATAATATATCATTAATATATATATAATATATATATATATATATATATATTATATATGTAATATGTATATTACATATATAATATATATATGTAATATATATATTATATAACATAACATATATAATATGTATATGATATATGTAATATGTATATATATATATATATGATATTTGTTAAAAGTAAAGAATCGAGAGTTTCTTTTTTTTTTCTTTTTTCCTTTTTCTTATTACGATTAACGATTAACTATTAATCGTTCGGGAAAAAAACGAACGTTTAATTCTCGGCCAGAAATGGTTCATTCACTTCCTGCCTTCTTGAAATTCTTGAATACTTTTGTGTTGAAATATATATATATATAAAGAGAGAGTATTTTTTTTTTTTCAGAATCGTTCGATATCGTTCCCGATATTACAAAATAAATCGATTCTTGGACAAAGTGTATCAGACAGAGATTTTTCCCCGGAATCGTTCCAATACCAATTTTAATCGTAAAATATACTCGTGGTGCGTGCTTGATTACTTATAATTCTATATATCATTTTCCGTATCAAATGAAAGATAATCGAGATTTTGTTTGTTTTTCTTTTTTTTTTTTCAAAACCGATTTTTAATTATAAAATGAACGTTTAATTCCGACAGAAGTGTTAATGGTCCACGCTAAAAATGTATGGTCCATACATTTTCCTCGTTTCTGAACGAAGGATCGAGATTTTTTTTTTTTATTTTTTTTTCTTTCTTCTTTTTTTTCTTTTTTTTTTTTTGTGTGTGTAAAAACGTTTCGATCTCAATTACAAAATAAACATTTAATTCTTGCAGAAGCGTATATAGTAGTCAATGTCAAAACGATAGAAATTTTTTTTCTTTTTTTCAAAATCATTCGATACCAATTTTAATTACAAAATATAAACGTAATCCGCCCCTTGCCCCCAGTAAAGGATCGAATTTTTTTTTTTTTTCTAAATCGTTTTTTACATCGATTACAAAAAACAAGTCGTTCAATTCTTGCAGAAGCGTAGCGATCCATGTCAAATTACAAAAAATTTTTCCCAAAAATCGTTCGTTATCGATCTCATCTCGGTTACACAAATAATACGATCCGTCCACTTCCTCCGTCTCCGTTAAAAAAAGAAAAAAAAAAAAAAATCGAAATTTTCCCAGAATCGTTCTCAATCAAATTACAAAATCAAATTGTTCACAATTCTCGCGGAAGCATCATCGTGTCCCGCGTTATAAACTATATAATAAAAATTTATTCTCGACGGAGACGTTAGCGTGATCCGCGGCCAAATATTACAAAAATTTGTTCGAAACATCGAATAAACGACATAATTGTTCGATTCTTCTTGCAAAAGACAGCGTATCGTCCGTGGTGAACGAGGATCTTCATTCGAGGATTTTCATAAGTTGGAAAAAAAAAAAAAAAAAGTAAAAATAAAATAAAACGAACGTATCATTCGACGAACGATAAGCGTACAACGATCCATCCTAAGCGATACGATTCCTCTCTCACTCTCTCTTCTCTCTCTCTCTCTCTTCTCTCCCTTTCCTCCTTTTTCAATTGTCTGCGAACCTCGAGGTCTTCGGCTTCAAGACGATCTATTCTCGCGGATGCACCCGCGCTGAAATGACAACCTCCCTCTCCTCCTCGACTGTCCGGGTGTATATGCAACTGGCATGGCTCGAGGCGTTTTAACGTTCCTCTACTTGTCCTGACAGGATGTCGTTTCCTTCCGCGTCGCCTCCGTGGCCTCGATCACCTCGAACCCCTCCGTCGTCGAACTGTCGGTCGATGATCCATTGTCCCCGATCTTCGGAACGCCAGGTAACGCCACCTCTGTTTTGCAATCCGATCTCCCGTTGTTCGACGATGGCTGCTGCTGCTGCTGCTCCGCGGCGCCCCCTGTTGCTACGATTCAAACCAATTTTCAGAGCGGAGAAACGAAGACGAGGGGAGAACGAACGGATGATGATGAATTTTTTTGGGGGGGGGAGGGGGGGAGGGGAGGAGAAAGATCCAATGATCGATCATTTTTCGACGAGACAGAAGAAGAGAAAAAAAGGACGAAATGGGAGGATGCGATCGTGGAGAATCGTGTGCTGTTAGGTGAATTTGATGGAGGTTGAAGAAAAGGAGGTTGAATTATTTGTTTATTTTCGGCGGAGAAAGAGGAAGAGGTGAAAATCCGTTCTTGAACGCCGCTGTGGCGATTTAAGAGTTAAAAAAAAAATCACGCAAAATATTTATCGGAAAAATGATTTGTTGGTTGGAACAAACAACAAGACGAGCGATTGACGAAAATATATGCATATAAAAAAAGCAATTGGACAACGAAAATGAAAAGAAACACGATATGAACGATATTCGTTTTAAAAGTGGGTTTAAAGTAATAATAAATAATCGAATATTCGTCCATCTCGTTTAATCCTTACGTTATTCTTTCGTAACTTCTCTTGAGACTCGTACAACAAAAACGCGAGTAATTGCGCGTTTTGTTCGGCTTGGAATTACCATTCGATCGAAGTATCATTTTATTTACACGAAATGAAAATGTGATAGGATTAAAAATGGTGTAAAGGTGCCAGGC